ATTTCTGTATTTGAATTTGATTTGAGATCAAATATTTGATCAAATCAAATCAAATCAAATCGAATTGCAGAACTCTACACCAGAGAGTGATCCTGGGAGATCCACTGGCATTTGTACAACTAGGAAAATCTGGGAACTACAAAGAAATACAAACCAGTTTAGAGTAGTGCAAATACTTGATAAGTTCATAGTCGTGTAAATTTTGGAAATCACCTTCACCATACAGAAAGCCCATTTGAGAAGTCTTGAGTTGGGAGTAGCAGTGATTTCTGACAGTACTACATGAAGGTTAAATTCAAACCGGGGCCCGAGATTGGAAAACCAAGCAACCAAGTCTCTTAGTGAGGGGGACACACCAGCTGAACTGCCAGTTTTAGAGGAAAAGGCCATATGCTTTGAAAGTATGGACCAAGGGGAGGGCATTCTTCAGGTACCTAAAGCCTGAGCAGACCAACCTATCCAGATTGCTAGCTGGAAGTAAAGAAGGAACCGATAAAAAATCCAGATAAGAAGATAATTAAAATGTGAAGTACTGGGGTTGTTGTAAACCTTACAAGGTCAGGAGTACGTAATGAAGAACTAATTAAGAAGGTTGTGCTTGAGATACAGATTATGTTATGATAGCACCCCAAAAGGTGGCTTGAGATATGAACATAATGATGGCAGACAATATGTACTAATTGGGAAATAATTACCGAACATGCAGGTAAAACATATGTAGGACATGAACTACTCTGTTAGGTTTACCTCAGAGATAGACTAGCTTAATAGAGTTGGTCACTAGGGGGTTAGTAAGTTCTAGGTAGGGTGTTTATATATAGGGTATCATATTAGAAGTACGATAACAGTATGTAATAATTTGATAACCTAATAAAAAAAACCCTGGCCAAGAGGTCACCTTAATAGTGAAAAAAAATAAAAATAAAAAATATGAAAAAATGAAACTTAATAAATTATAAAATAAAATTTTATATTAAACAAGTTTATTTAGAAAAACAATAACAGATTGTTTTAGTAAAAAAAAAATTTACTAAATAACATTTTATTACTAAGATAATTTACTATTGGCTAGTTTCTTTTTAGAGGTTCGTATTACCCGCGCAAATAAGATGAAATATAGTATATACCAAAAAAATCTCACAAGAAAATTTTTTTGTTAGAAGCCAAAAGGTGGTTTCATAATAAAAATTTTAAGATATTAGTTGGCTTTTTATATGCCCGTATACCCACACACAACCCGTGTACAAATAGAAATTCTCTGTTAAAAAAAATAAATTTAATAAACATATTTAAAATTACAATAAAAAGTGTTATCTAATAATTAAGGCTTATAAATATATATATATATTATTTGTATTTATTAAAAAAATCAAAAAATATCAAAAGACAAATATCACAATTTATTATATCAAAATAATAGAAAGATGATTTAGATAGAATAACTTGAATAACGTATATAAACAATTCAAATCAGAAACTTATTTTTTTTTTATTACTATATATTAAAATATGTAGCTCGAGATTTAATAAATTTGAAAAGTAGTTATTTTTGTTAATAGTTCAATTGATATAAAGAATTTTAATTAGTGCAGTAATGGTGATTGATAATTGTAACAGTATTAACCAAATATTCAGATTATCAGTGACATGTAAGCACAGTGTAACCAATATACCAAATCACTTATTTTTAGCGTTTTCCGTAACGTCAAACAATAACTTTAAAAAAAAAAAAACGATCTTTCATCATTACAATAGAGATCGGTCCGATCCAATCTACACAAAGACAAAAAGAACAATTGTTTTGATAATTCATTTGTTCTGTTCAGGGCTGGCGAATAAAAATGCTAGACAAAGTCGGGAACCGATAATCGGGATGACAAGAAAATCCCGTAACTTTTACTAAGAACCAACAGCATAGAGGTATATTTTGTAAGCTATATGAAATTCAAAAAATGTTATTTGACTTTTTTCCGCACTTTGTGCTTTACTACATCAATTACCATATTAAGCACGTTGCGGCTCTCACAATATTACATCAATATTGCAACAAAATAGATCAATGATTCTTTGTATACTAAAATGTGCATGAATCACCAAATAACAAACCACCTAACATATATATATAATAATATGCTAACGATCTGAATAAGATTTGTACTAGAAGACTCAATTATTATTTGTTGGACAGAGCTTTAATCATTGTGAATTAAGATTGGTTTGATCTTTTATTATATGAATAATTTGTAAATAAATTTTTTTTTGAGAATTTCGAAGCTTTGAGAGAATATTGGAATTTAATAAAATGGATTTGGTTTGTGATTACTGCGCACGGCTTTAGTCTCTATGTTCAAATTTAAGCTACATACATAAAACGCCTCGCGAACGATATTGTATTTAGTAAACTCAAGGGATGAAGCAAAACAGGATTAGTAACAAAGGTCATGAATATAAACCGTCTTTAAAATATATTTAAGACTGGAAACCTTATAAGGTAACGTTCTATGCAACAAATGTTTGTATCTTCCAAATTGCGAACCACACGTTTTTTTAATATTAATTTTAATGACATCGAAATTCTTTTACGACAACGGTTGAAAACAAAAAAAAAACGAACTACTATATACAAATTCGCCTTAATACAAAGCGAACAATGGATAAGTGTCACGTGAATGATAAATAAACTACTTTATGTGGTTAGAGAAATAATGAAATCTATGCTTCATTTGACATGGTTCATTCAAGATATTTCGTTAAATACTTTCCTTTATGTTCCAACACCAAAAACTGCATCGATCATCTAGCGCGGAGGTATATGAATTGCATTGTTGTCCACAAACATATGGTTATATCAACAATGAATAATCGTTTTAGGGATCCTTGGTAAAAAAATTTTGTGAACCCATCAAACGACGATGCTTGCCTATTGGATGTCTCTTTTTTCATTTTCATTTTTTTTTTTTATATTTTTTTTTATATTTTTTTAAAAAAAAAAAGCTTAAAATCCGGAGACTTGAAATCTTATTTATAGAAATGCATCAACGAAACCTTTCCATATACGACCATCACTACAAAAGCACCAGAACAAAAAAAAACTTGCAATTTTAGATAGAGGATGCAGGGATTTTTTTTTTTTTGAGGACGTATAAATAAAAAGCGTTTTTTTTAACAATTATCATTCTTTGATCAATGTTCTTTTGAATCGACTCTCGATTAAAACGCACATATAGTTGACTCCGTATTTTCCCATGTTTGTTAACTTTATAAAATATCGAGGAACAAACAAAAAAAAAATTTTTATTTTCTAAATTTCTTGAGAAACAAAAAAGATTAGCCTAAAATTTGTGCCGGCAGTTTGGCAGTCCCGCGTTCTTTTTTTCCTATACTAAATAAGCTGTCCTTGCCAGTATCTTTAAATTCACGTTTTCTAAAACCTTCCATCCATTTATCACTCACACTCGAACTCCTTGTTGTTTTTTTTTACATTCCTTCCTTTCCTCTTACCTGCTCTTTTCAACTTTTTTAATATTAATTCACTTTCATCCTCCTTAAACTTTTCGAATACCATATTTTCTTTATACCGTTATCCATTCATAAGAATTAAAAAAATAAAATAATGAATACACGAAGAACTCGAAAAGAGCCACGAGATAATACATCCCGCAGGACGGGTCCTTGGGAACCTCAGGTTTGATATCTTACCAACACACCTTACAAAATCATTATATGTACTTACTTGTTTTAAATATGGATCAAATGTTAGGAGGACGAAAAATTACTGGAAATAGTAAGAGAATTAGGAGTTAAGCACTGGAAGCTCATTGGAATTAGACATGGCCTACGTGACGGAAAGCAATGTCGCGAACGGTAAAATATTTAAAAAAATGGTTTTTTTTTTAATCCTATAATCTTCGTTTTCTGTAACTAATTTCCTTTCTCCAAGTAGATGGCATAATCATCTAAACCCTGATTGTAAGTGAATTTACTTATCCTACATTATTTTTTTCTTATTCATTTCCATCTCTTTCGCTAATTTTTATTTTGGATATGAATAATTTACAGTAACATATGGCCCCTTGACTCCCGAAGAAGACAAAAAAATACTATCATTTTATTCTGAAATGGGCACAAAATGGGCGGTGATGAGTCAGTTATTAGGAAGACCAGCTAATTTAATAAAAAACCGGTATTATTCTTCCTTGTCTAAAAAACGTGATCATGCCGCGATTGATGATTCAGATGATTCCACAAGTAGCACTTGTGCTTCGTCTGATTGTTCTCCTAGACCAAAAAAACGGCGAATTACTAAAGGTGTTACTACATCGGTTTCTTTAAGTAATTATGGTAAATAATTTTATTCATGATAAATATTTATTATTATTATTTTATTTATTTTTATTATTATTTTTTTAATATGTAGAATCATCACGTCATTCTCATTCTCGAAAAAGATCATTTAAATCAAAGTCGTTAGAAAATTCACCCATTGAACGGTGGATTCCTGAAAGTCATCGCTATCCAACGCGTCATCAAATAAATTCATGGCATTCACTAAAAACTCCAATTTCTAGTCCTGAAGCCGTAGACATTCCATGTCTCGACTTGAACTGCCCTACTTATAATTATAGTTCTTCAAACAAATACATTTCCATTCCAACACCGACCTATACACCAATACCGTCTCCTGTTCCAATGTATCATCATAATCATCATAATAATTGTACAGCAGCTTTAGAGCAACTTGCAGATTTAGCGATTCAAAATGCAAGGTAACAATAATATACTAGTTCTCTTGGTCAATGATTTTTAAATTGTGCTTTTTTTCATATTTCGATATTTGTTACAATTAGGGAGACAACCAAGGTCAATAATAAGCCAAATTTTAACATTATGTCAATTTCGGCTGTGTTGAATTAACTTCGTTTACAAAAAGTTTAGCTATGATTTAATTTTTTATATATACTTTAGAATAGGTAGAATAGTTGTGGTAGACAAAATTCATAATCAGGTAATTCTGATCATTCTGAAGCTTATAGTGCAACAAAAATATAATATCAAGATACAAGATTTATCTAATTATATATAACATTATGTTGCTGTATATTAAGTTTATTGATTGTTAGCTAGGCCAGAATTACATGATTGTGAATTTTTATGCTATAACTATTTTATCTTATTTGATAGTTCTTTATAGGCCAGGTTGGGTCAAATCTAGTTTAAAATCAAAACCTGGCCTGGCCTATACTTTACAGACTTTTTTTTAGCAGGCCAGGCTTTGATATATAATATTTTCTGGGCTTGGTTTTGGGCTCATAAAATCTCAACCAACCTGGCCCATTCTGCTCCTAATTGTTACAGTAATTATAAATTTTACCCAGGTATATCAGGTAAAA